TGCGCCAGCAAACCCCCGACCCCGCCGCCCCGATCACCGTCACCGCCGCCACTGCCGCCACCGACCCCCCGGTTCGTCGCCGTCGTGAGCAGGCCGGTGACGCTTGAAGACGACGCGGACGGCCTCATGTCCCCGGCGGCGACGGCGGCCAGGGCGGAGGCGGAGAGGGTGGGCGGGGTAGCGTCGCCGACACCTCCGCCGCCGCGTTTGACAGCACCGGCACCGGAGCCGGAAACACCTCCTCCTCCTCCGTTGGAGGAAGAGGGGCCCGGCAGCATGAGGTCCTCGGCCGCCTCCGCCGTGAGCTTCCGCTTGTGCTGGCGATGCGGCCGAACTCTACCGCTACCGCTACCGCCACCGCTACCGCCGTTGATGCCGATGTCGTTGTCGTGCCGCTGCTGGTGGAGGTTGTGGTAGACGTACGCGTTCGAGTGGGGGCGATGGCGTTGATGGCCGTAGCCCGTACCGCCGTTGATGCTGCCGTTGGAACCGATGCCGTTGGGAGATGGTGCTCCGCTGGCTGGCCGGGGTCGATGCCGTCGAGGCAACATACCGTCCTAACAGACGGGGACAGCAGGAGCAGCAGCAGGTGGAAGGCGTTAATATTCGTCCATCGTTTCGTCGTTCCGGCAAGCAAGAGTTGCGAACGAAGTATTTATTTACACGGTAGGGGGGCAGAAGAAAAAAAAAAAGTGGCGCGGTACATGTACGAGCGGAGAGGAGATGCTTGGTTTCCAAAATTGTGACGCGTGCGCACAGGAAAATGTTTTATGGTTTGGCAGCGTTCGCCTGATACCCGACACACCTCGGTCACAATATGCTCCCTGACAGTCACTCGACAGGCATCCTCACAGCACCCACCTGGAACCTGAAGAAAGTCAAACCGGCGATGACGACGGCGAGGGCCACGTCCACGGTGTAGTGCTTACGGCCGGCGATGGTGCACGTGGCCATGGTGAGGAGGTAGAGGAACCCCGTAGACTTGACGAGCGCGTACACCAGCCTCGGCGCTCGCCGGAAGCTCTTCGTCAGCTACATAGAGGTCGCCGGGGGCACGGACGGCGGGAGGGAGAATGCACGAAGGCGTGATGCACTTGTCGGTAGAAAGCACAAAGCATGGACGGTGCAAGCCTCGCGGGGCTTTTCAGACGGCACAAACCGCAAGTCTCGCAGCACATCAAAGCGCGGCACACACGGCAGAACGAAAAGAGTGCTGCTATACGCACGACGCAAAAAATAAAAATGGTGGCACAGGCTGAGCACAGCGCAAACACTTTACACTTCCCACGCCCCCTTCGACTGCTGTGGCATTTTCTCGAACGGTAGGCTAATATTTCAGCATGTAGTTCATACGCGCACATATATTCTCTAAAAATATGGTGACTATGAAGACGAGACCGCGACTCACGAGCAACATCGACACTGTCGTCCACGCCGTGTGCCCGGAGAATAGCAGGTCGCCGCACGTCCGAAAGTCGCCCATGAGAGGGCCGAGCCTTGTGGCCACGTCGTGCCAACCCCGAGGGCGATCGTACCCCGACAGAGCCTCGCAGTGTGGAGCCGGCCCCGGAAGGGAGGTGAGGGTCACGCACAGGCACCGCATCAGGTACGTCACCGACCTGATGCGGTGGCAGGTGCAGTAACCATCCGCACGTGGAGACGCGCAAAAAAAGCGAGCGGGAGGGGGGCGTACTCGTGTTATGCACGCCTTCGCTGTTAGACAATTGTTGACCCGTGGCGACCGGGAGCGGGGGGGGTGGGGGGGGTCTGATTTGCTGCTTGCTCACGTCGTTTGAGCCTTGATCACATGCGCGCTTCTGTTTTTGAGTTTTTGCCAAGGTTTACGGCAGAAGTAGAGACAAAGTTAAAAGCGGCTGGGTACACACGTGCTAGTGGCAAATTGTGTACCAACAACAGAGACACCCATAGCATTAGCGGCAAGTACCAGAACTAGGTTCCGCTAGACTGTGCTATGCCATACAAGCAGCATATCCAATGAGGGAAGCTACGAGGGTGGCGCACGGGGGTCGCGTGAGGTACGAGACAAACCCAAAGTCAGCAAGCAACCGGAGGTTCAAGAGACAACTACATTGTAGGAGAAGATGGTTTCACAACCGGTTCGCAAATGCTGGTCTCCCAACTCCCGCCTGCTGCAGTAACTCTTCTTTGGGGCGGCGACGTGCGGGTTGACCGCGGCCTGAGATACTCTAGCAGACACTCGTCCCTCGATAGATCCGACGGCCGGCCGAACGACTACAACAAAATCACAACCACGCACAAGTCTCACACAAATGACTCTGGATCAATCACAATCAATCAATCAATCAATCAAGCAATCCAGCAATCCAGCAAGCAAGCAAGCAAGCAAGCAAGCAAGCAAGCAAGCAACCAACCAACCAACCCCAACTCACATGAGTCTGAACCAATCAGCGATGAACCGACATCTCGTCCGGCGGTCGAAGAACAGCGTCCTGAAGAACGCGAGCCCCGGCAGAGCGAGGGTGAGGATGTCGCTCAGGGGCCTCCACGGGCTATCTACCCCCTACACAGACCGAGCGAGAGGAGGGGGAGTACTCAGCGCACATACGTGGCGGGGTGGCCTGCGTCACAACACAACCCAAATCCATAGGTTGCACTGCTGTACAAAAAGGAGGCACGGCGACTGGCCGGTGAATTCGCCGAAAAGACTTCGCCAGTGCAGCGACAAATACCAAATACTTGTGTGATAGTAATAGTATACCACCTCGCCGAACGAAACGCACTTCTTACCCCCGCTGAGGTCTAACGCCGTTGGTTGGCGATTTTTTTCCCTTGTGGTAGTCGTCGTCGTGATCGTCTCGCACTGTATTACTCTATTACTGCTGTCTGCGAGCAAGCAGGGAGTCTAGCACGAATACGACTGACTTTACGCCACGCCTCCCCCCCCCCCCCCCCCCCGGGTAAAATAACTACCGGGGGAGGGAAGAATGGGCCCTCCCCCCCCTCCCTTTTTGGGA